CACATGAAACACCTCAAGTCACCATGCTCAAAATCATTAACCATGCACAATTTGATGTCTAGTACCAAAAGTGAATCACCATAACCACGGAGAAGTAAATGACGCAATGTCATACCAGCCCGAAAGAACATATCCAATACACAATCACTCACGCAACACCCAAATACCCGTCTCACTCAAATTCCGCTATGAAGCCCAAATAGAATCGTATCATTTGTGCATAAAATCAACGAATCACAATCCCGTGTAATTCACAAGAGTAACTTACAAACAAATCTTGGGACACAATAAACTTATCAACAACCGAATGGCACCTCCCTCAACAATATCAGTTAAGAGTCAACATACTCGACTCGATGCAGAACACACATCCATATTGGGCCTACCAATGAACCCCGAATCAACTCGGGTCACCCACAATAGATGAATAACTTTTCGAAAGTTCACAATGACTAAATTATGGCACGTACAACATCTGACTAGCTTTGCGCACATCTTTGTAGTCCACAACCACAAAATAACCTATTTATGAGAACTCTCAGTCTTGAAATCCATAAAGCACACGAATCACCATATCCGATCCTAACTCCACCGCCCGAATATCTAACACACCTCTAGTACTCGATCATTCCACGAGGGATACTCCTATAATTCTTCTGTGCCACCAAGAAAACTTGAATATCAGTAGTCGATCAAACAAGACAGTGTCGCAATACTAATGAAGTATCCTTAACCCAAACACATTGCCCTTTCTGAAATGTATACCCTCGTCAAGCCACACCAATTAGTAATATCATTTACCTAGTCATCTGAAACTATCCATGCTGCCTAAAATTTATGACTTTCCTTTCAGAACTGAACCGTGACCTTACATATGCAAATCTCAACCCTACACAACATACCGCATATACCACGCCATCCTACGATAAATATGAGAACTTCATAATCCCCTCCGAGCCACAAGCAACTACGTACTCAACTAGCCAAGAACTTTTCTTTTGATCCCATCTAGGAGAAAATCACTATACATCACATGCTCCTCACACTAGTAGAATGTATACATCTCCAACCGTGGTAGAAATCATCAAGAACTCTCTGAATCCCCTTTGCACAAAACCAAACCGTCAGGACTGAATCCTTTTAACTCAACCCAGCTATACAGGTCACTAAAACCTAAGAGCATTGCCACGAAACACCTGTAGAAACTCATTACCTCATAAGCACCCGAAGAACTAATCATATCCCTTACCATGTCGATCCAACCTACTACCAAGCTGTCCTATTTATCCGAGTTCCTTCCGAATTACCTTCAATTTGATACTCCTCCTCGCCATAACACCACAACCCTCAACCCAGACTCTTCCCACTGGACCAAGCATAAAACCACACCACCCTTAGGCTCATAAGCCGGCACATACTCTCTTAAATATCCCCAAAAGTACCACATTCAAAATACTTACCCTGAAAAGACTTCTGCAAATTTAAAGCCATTACCTTTTTGATACTAATATGTAGAATCCATAATGATATAGGAACGCCACAAGTCTTGCCACCATCCAATGTAAACCTCAGTTTCTAGCCAAATACACATCCTGAAAATCCTCAACTATTACATATAAATCTTGAATACATTAAAACCATTCTCGAGAGTCATCCACTCTACTCAAGTTTCAATTAAACTGATCAAACAAACGAATGACCGGTGCCCCATTAGTACAACAACACCTAAGGAAGTAACTCATTCTTCTAAGCCACCGAGCGATTTCCTACTCCATGCACGTTACATCCTTTACAACAACAACTAATTCATCCAACGTTTCTCATATACCCATACAACATAACACAACCTTTATCCAAAATTTCCTTTACTCGAGTCATACTCGATCTCAACCTCTGTAAGCCACAACTAATTCGCCAGTATACTTCAAACTGAAACTAATACGACACTTAGCCACGCAATCAACTTATCAATAGCAGACTCCCCCACTTGGCTCAAAGCCATAGGTCAAAATATACAGAAACTCACAATGCCCATACTTTATTACTACAATAATACCTTAGTGAGATTAAACTAAATCCTTCATAAGCTCGTGCAACACAAACCATCTAGTACTTCAAATCATCTGCAAATCTCGCATTCATCCTCTTAACAGACACGCCCACTCTCATAAATGATCCAAACTCAAATTGCGACACATATATTTCACTAGTAAAAGAGGACTTTCAACAAACAACATAAGGATCACACAAACTTCAGAACAACCAGCAGGAGATAACCCATATGCTTCGCCTCAAACGAACATATCTTTATACCCTTCCACCATCATAAACGTTACGCAAACATTAATTTTCTTGAGTCTGAACACATAACACAACATGAATATCTACTCTACTCCACAACTAAACTACACGAGCGGTCTTTCAACACACTTATAGCTCGAGGCTATATGCCAACTCAAGACAGAAGTCAAGCACCCCATAGTCCTTGCTACATCCCCAACGAACTCTTCTCGCCACATTCGAACAATCTGAACACATATCGTAATCAAATCATACTCATCATGTAGCCATCCAGCCACAAACTCCACTAACAAGGACACTACCGGACATATAAATTTAAAAGCATGCGCTCACACAATCAACACCCCAGTGCTCAAGATACAGATAAAACCCAACCTCAAGTCCTCCAGACTGGCCCATCATCAGCATACTGAAATCACATCTCGCACCTCATCCATGGAATTACAAGCCATTAATGCACAGTTAATATCGAGTGCTCATGTGCGCATACGAACGTGTGGAGGGAATTAAAAGAGTTACATTTCCAACTGAATCAATGTCGCATGATAATAGTGATCATTGAACAGTGGTGGCCTAGTGGTGGATTGCTCTTTACAGTTTCCCGGTAGTGCACTCATCGTGATCTTTTCCAAAGGTGTTAGCCTCTTTAATAACTCGCTCTGATGTCAATTGATGTATTTTACTCTAATGCCACACAAGAGAGGGGGATGATTTGTGTGGTGTCTAATTTTCGCGTGCACGGATTATAGAAGGACCTGGCTCTTCTACGTGTTCCTTACACTACAGTTGCGGAATAATAAATGCAAAAAGTAAAGAACACAAGTATTTTTACGTGGGAAACACCCGGCTCAAAAGGTGAAAAAAAATCATGACCTACTACTCAGTAGGATTTTCTCCAAACACTTCATTACAACTCTGAGCCAACAACAAAGTTTACAAACTCTTGCAAATCTAAGGATTAACTCTAACCCTTATAGCAACCAGCTATAGGTTGTTGCGACTGCTTCAAGTTAACTCTAACTTGAATAATACAATTCGAGTTTACAACCTCTTGCAAACCTAAGGATTAACTATAACCCTTATAGCAACACGCCACGAGCTGTTGCGACTACTTCGAGTTAACTCTAACTTGAAAGATACAACTCAGGTACCTAGTACAATTTGCTTCTAAGAAAGCTGAAAGGTACAACTCAAAATGCCTACTACACTTTGAACTAGAAATAAAGAAAGACACATAAAACTCTTTATGGAGCTGGTTTCTTTAATCTAGTTCGTGTAGCTTCAGGATCTCACTCTTAAATCTCATAGGAATTGCTCACAAAATGCCTTGCTATTTTGTTCTCAATTCGTACTTAACTTCACTATGTGTGCATCACCTGTAAAAGAGAACACAACTGATATATATATATATATAGTTAGTAAATAAAGATTAACTAGAGTTCTAATGTTTTACTCTTCCTTGGTGGAAGAGTTCTAGTCAACTTCAACTTCAACTTCTAACTCCTCCCTTATCTTGGGTAGAGTTCTCTTCAAGTAAGGAGTCATGTTCTTTATCAAATATGCAACCTTTTCATACAGGGAATATGAGATATAACCACTTATACTTATCCCTTTCACGTGCAAGCCTTTTGCTTAATTCTGTCTGTCACCTGTGTATACTGTCCATGGACCTAGTTCATGCATGTGTCCCTTTGTCAATCATCAAAACAAACTTACTCAAGCCAACAATATTATATACTATTATAGTATATTTTTGCAGTATAATTGTATACTCTTGTAGTATATCGTATATCGTATATCGTAGCAGTATACTATTAGGTAACTATGTTTTTCTTTAAATTTCAGCTGAAAAATTCCTTATAAAATACCTCAAACCAGCTCCAAATGCGACCAAATTTCATTATAAACTTCCTGAAGGTACTATAAGCAATATTTTTGCAGCACCCACTTCGAATTAAGCATCAAATCTCCAAAATAAAATACAAACTTAGGAATTCAAGCTTCAAACCACAAAGTTCATGTAGCACCCTAACCCTAGAATTAAGGAACTATAAAATTAAAGGAAAAATAGGAGGGAAGAAAAACTCGTTGAAAAACTACTCATCCAAATAAAAACTGACCATTTAATACACACCTCTTTAATCATGGGAAAGAATTTTTAGCTTCTGAATGTTACGTTTTTCAAAGGAAAAAAGAAAAATTTCTACTCCCTCCGTTTCAATTTATGTGAACTTATTTCCTTTTTGGTCTGTGCCAAAAAGAATGACCCCTTTCATTATTTGGAAACAATTCACCTTTATGCAATGATTTATAGCCACACAAAATATATTTGCCTCATTTTACACCACAAATTCAAAAGTCTTCTCTCTTTTCTTAAACTTCGTGTTCAGTCAAATGGGTTCACATAAATTGAAACGGGAGGAGTATTGATTATGCTATTTGCTGTAAGTTTTTGAAAGTTGAATAGAATATTAGGTCGAGTAAAGTATGAAGTCAATCTCTCTATATATATATATATAATTTTTTTTTTCTTTATTATCATCATCCGTTTCCTGCTGTGTTCATCTTATGAAGTCTAAGTAGTAATTAGGCACATCAAAGATTCAAAGGTAGAAACAAGGAACATTTGTTTCTTTGCTCGAACTCCGTGGACAGATACAGGTAAAAGATGTAAGTAGCTATTAAAAAGTCAAACCAAGTAAAATTACTCGCATTGCTTTCATAGAAAAATCTCTTCATTAAACACAGACAAAACAGTGTCTTCTTATTACAAGTGGGAAGTCCATAACAAAATAGAGGTCACTAAATCTTGATACAGTTACATACATAATCCATCAAGCAGTAGCTAGTGATGTACATGGTTGTTTACATTAGCTGCCGGGGCAGGATAGCTCCCTCCGGGCGACTCCCTGGTGCTCCGGCGATGGCTGCTGTCTAGTACTCCCAGCCTTTCCGTCACTGCAAATTACGATTTCAAACACATTCAAATGTCTAAAACACATACTTTAAACACACACACACAGACACACACTGTTCTGTATAAAAACAAAAGGAGAGATCAAGAGTGAAGAGAAGAAGGAAGATATGCAACACCTGGAATTGCAGAGAAGTCTAAGAAGATTCTTGCTGCTTCACCATATTCACACCACGAATTCATGCACAGTGCAAAGAAAACCAGCATTAACAGAGGCCATGTAACTGTGTTCTTGTTGATAGACATTTTTAATTTCGTCGCCTACGCTTCACTAGGATTATCTTGTTCCACTTTACCTCCAAATATGATTTTTTTTATAGCAAGTCCAAAGTGTGGAAGAATAGGGGTGGAATTAGCTTATCCATAAATAATATGTGGGTTCAGTATGACAGAAATCATTTTTGAGAAAATTATTTCGTATAAGTCATTTTTTGACTTTTGGATGAGAGAGTGTATAATTTTCAACCCTATTGAGTCTGAAAATATTATTGATCAGTGTAAGAAAAGTTTACTAACTTATGCTACAGAATGTTATTTTTAGTTCCCTTGTTTCCCGAAAATGCAATATCAAATTTAGAAAAGAAAAAAAAAAGATACCACCTTGCTTCTTTGGTAGATAAATAAACATAGTATTCGACATGTGAAAAAAAAAATCTTGGAGCAAAAGTTAAAGGGTTCATTCTAGGTTTATTGAGGGATTGATTGGTTGAAATGAACAAGCATGGACGGAAGAGGAGAGAAGAGCGTTTATTTTTTTCATTTATTAATAAGAGCGTCTAATTTTTGTTAATTTTTTCATTTATTAAAAAGAGCGTCTAATTTTTGTTAAACTATATTAACACTTCGCTTATTTTTCTCCGATCCACCCAATTGATGAAGAAGGGGCGTTTATGGGGTGAGCATATACAGTGAAAGATCAAAGAATATTAATAAATAACGAAGAATTAGTCAAATAATTCTTATTATTAATTTTTCTTAATGTGTAAAAGAATGATGTGACAGGTCAATAGAATCTTTGTATAAAAGCGTTTTTCCGACTGAATTCGATCGGAAATATTGAATTATAATTATTTCGGTTGGTTAATTAAATATATATAATTTTTGTCTTGGGCGGGAAACAAAATTCAAACTTTCCGATCGAAATCGGTCCGAAATTCGGAAATTTTTTAATACATAATTATTTTTGTACATTATACACAAATATAACCAAATATTTGACTAATTTCCGAACGAATTTGGTCGAAAAATTGAAAAAATTTTAATAAATAATTATTTTTGTACATTATATAGAAGTATGACTAAATATTTGATCAATTTCTGACCGAAATTAGTCGGAATTTTTATTTTTTTTGTTGTCAGAAAATTTTTGTTGATTTTTGCGACCAAATACTCTTATTTCCGACCGATTTCGGTCGGAAAGCATTGGACGAAAATCACCTGATTTCTAGTAGTGAAATGCCTTTTTTCCTCTAGTGGTTAATATTTTCTTAAGGGGCATGTCAAAGGTCAAAAAAACACTTATTTTATGGACCAGAGGGAGTGTTCGATTGGTGATCAAGCAATCAAATGAATAAGGACATAATTGTATAATTAAACCAGTACAATAAAATAATAATAATAATAATAATAATAATAATAATAATAATAATAATAATAATAATAATAATAATAATAATAATAATAATAATAATAATTCAAGCTTCAAACCATGGAGCACCCTAACCCTAGAACTAAGGAACTATAAAATTAAAGAAAAGGTAGAAGGGAAGAAAAATCCTTTGAAAAATTACTCATCCAAATAAAAACTGATCATTTCATAAACACCTCTTTTATCATGGGAAAGAATTTTTAGCTTCTGAGTGTTACGTTCCTCATTTAAAGGGAAAAAAAAATTCTATTGATTATGCTATTTGCTGTAAGTTTTTGAAAGCTGAATAGAATATTAGGTCGAGTAAAATATGAAGTCAATCTCTCTATATATATATATATATCTTTACTTTATTATTATCATCCGTTTCCTGCTGCGTTCATCTTATGAAGTCTATATATTAATTAGGCACATCAAAGATTCAAAGGTAGAAACAAGGAAGTATTTTTTTCTTTGCTCGAACTCCATGGAAAGATTCAGGAAAAGATGTAAGTAGTTATTAAAAAGACAAAATAAGTAAAATTACTCTCATTGCTTTCATAGAAAAATCTCTTAAACACAGACAAAACAAAGTCTTCTTATTGCAAGTGGGAAGTCCATAACAAAATAGCAAATTTAGAAAAAGAAAAAAAAAAGATATCACCTTGCTTCTTTGGTAGATAAATAAATATACTATTCGACATGTGAAAAAAAATAAAATTTATTGGAGCAAAAATTAAAGGGTTCATTCTAGGTTTATTGAGGGGTTGATTGGTTGAATGAAAAAGCATGGAAAGAAGAGGAGAGAAGAGTGTTTAATTTTCTTTTCATTTATTAATAAGAGCGTCTAATTTTTGTTAATTTTTTCATTTATTAAAAAGAGCGTCTAATTTTTTGTTAAAATATATTAACACTTCACTTATTTTTCTCCACTCCACCCAATTGATGAAGAAGGGGCGTTTATGGGGTGAGCATATATGGTGATAGATCAAAGAAAATAATAAATAAGGAAGAATTAGTCAAATAAATCTTATTATTAATTTTTTTTAATGTGTAAAATAATGATGTGACAGGTCAATAGAATCTTGAGACTATATTTAAGAATATTAAAACAAGACGGAAAATGCTGCCAAGCATGTATTCTAGAATTAAATACTAATTAAACACAACTGTCCCGTTGCTGTTGCCCGTCACATTCGTGAAATAGATTTTCAACAAATTCAGCAGTTCTTAAAGAAGAAGTCAAAAGAAGCTATTGAATTATGCAAGCTACCTTATCGAAAGATTAGACTTTTTTAAAGAGGGATCATTCTTTATATAGTTTGTTTAACGTCTTTACCACATCCTTTTATATGGAAAAAAATCCAGTCAAGTACAATTACCTCAAGAACATTTCTTTTTTGGTCAAACATGCGAAATATAATGGTAATAGTTGGCAGTAGACTTCATATTGTATTTTATGAACCGCTTCATTTAAAATTTTAAATTTTAAAAATGAGTAACTTTTATTTTAATTAATTTTACATCTGCAACAAGTATTTTGAGGTCTTAATATCTCTTATCGTATTGTATTGCATTGCATTGTATTGTATTGTTTGATGAATACAACATTTGGATAGACTGTATCATTTGCGTCGTTTCATGATATCATGCACCAACAATATAAAAAATAAACTTGCAACATTACTAGGAAAAAATAGGATACAGACTAGAATTATTATATAAAAATATAGGATAAAAGAATAAAATATGATTATTTAATAATAAGGGCAGAATAAGAGAAAAAAAGCAAGGAAGCGACGCCACCACATCAAATCCTTTGTTTCATAAAGTGACAATTTTCGTCGTTAACAAACGTTGAATTTAACTATACGATACAATAAAATTTAAGTAACAATGAAAATAAATATTAAATTTAAAATAACAATTTCAAACAAGCTGACTTGTATCGATATCACCATGCATTTATTTCAAACTAACCTGCCCTCGCTCAGAAATGGAAAAAGGGGTTCAAAAAGAAGAAGAAAAAAAAGGACAATGTTGATTTTTCAGAATGTGGGAAATTTCAATATGAAGGTTGAAATTTAGAGCAAACAACTTCATCACAAAATCGGGGACCGAGTCGACAGACCAGTATTGACTTGAAAGAAAAAGGAGTAATATCCGATCGCTTGGTCGAATTGTTATAATATAAGGATTTCTTTTTTTTTAGGAAAATAATAGGAGATTATTTCTTATTTATCACATATTTCGGAAGGGACTAGATTATGAAGACGTTTTCGTATACTCAAATCAGTTTATAAACATTTTTTTTGATGTACTTACGTGTTTACCAGTTTAGTAAAAAAAGGTGTCCATAAGTCAAGTATTTTTAAGCAATTTTTCCCCACTAAACACACATTTAACTTGCCTACTCGTAATACATGGTTTAGTGATACAATCTTGCAGATTTTGCAGTCGTTTAAAATTAAATAATTGGAACATAATTCCAAATTTTACCTACCAATGTAATCTTTATCAATAATAAATAGTAATTGGCAAAACATAAACTAATCAGAGAATAAAAATGGAGGATTCAAAGCTCTCCAATGGAGGAAACCAGCAGAAGAAGAAAAGAAGGGAATGTTATAATAACCGCTCACATTTCATTACTTGTGTATGCCAATATATACAAGTGAATATGCTAACAAACTAATAGCTAAGCCTGTAATTAATAATTAATTTTAATGGTCACTAACAGCTAACTAATTAAGCTAATTAAGCTAACAGTCGGAACCAGGCTGTTATGCAAGACCAGTTCACGACTAGTAGTAGACTGCCACCTGGACACCTTCACATAACCAACTTGTGATACTAGCTCCAATAATACTCCCTTTCAAGCTGGAGGATGCAATATATTGGGCAAACCTCGTTTGCCCAAAAGATGCATATGTTGCCATTGCCCCAAGCCTTTGTTGAGGAGTTTAAGATGGAAAAGTCTTAAAAAGATTATGAATGGGAAATGGAGGGAAAATGAAATTTTTGAGTAAAATTTTAAGTTTTCCTCTCTTGAAACATTGTCCCATATTAGAAGAGGAAAACGATTTTGGTGGGTATATATACAATTGCTCTTCTTGTAGCTCTTAAAGAGTTAAGAAGAAGGGCAAGTCTCGCGCCGTCGTCGTCGTCGTCGCTCGGTTTCGGCTACGGCTACGGCTTCGGCTTCGGCTTCGACCAAGTGCATGCTCCATTGTCCATTGGCAGCCTAGTGCTCCTTCCACCATGTCAAGTGCTTCCTCCATAGCACCCTAGTGATTGCTCCACCATGAGTGGTGGCTGGTCATTCTCTTAATAGCTGACTGCACTATAAATATGTGCAGTAGTTGTTGAGCAAGGACACACAAAACCGAAAAACACAGGCATAAACGAAATTGAGAGCTTCACTGTCGTCGATCTCCTCTTCAATTAAAACTCAACGTTGCCTATAAATTGAAGTCCTTCCTCTCAGAATTTCCATTCGACTTCTGAGNAAAAAAAAAAAAAAAACGTAAGTGTGATTTGTTGCCGAACTTTGTGTTCGCTGAAACACTGGGGCTTGAAGTACTGCTACACCAGTGTGTAGTTCAGTCTATCCTGGGAGGAAATAATCCATAACCTTGGGTACTAGGAGGGGATTAAATTCCTTAAGGAAACATTGTGAATTCAGTGGGCTCGAATTAATTACTTTTTCATTTATATTTACGTTTATACGCAAACGTTCTTTTCTTCAAAATTATTATTTACAAATACAGCAAGTAAGAAGATAGGAACCAACAAGCTTAAGGAA